TGCATACCCAGAATATGCCCATCAAGGATTATATAGCTCAAATTTCCTTTGATTGTAGGCAATTATTCAATGCAAATTAACTTTTTAAGTGATTGAAATATTCAATAGTTTACAATATGGTATATCACTGTAAAAATATATTACTTTTAGGTACAATTAGGGCCAGATACATTTCAAAAAGTAGAATATTATTTTATATTAAATGAGGTATTGTACCAACAATCAATTTATATTAATACCGCAGATTAAAAAATAACAGAATAAATAGTTCTTTCTTTTATACTACAAAAATAAACTATAGAATACAACAGTATTTAAAAAAAAAGTTATGTCCCGCCGAGATTCGAACCCCGGTCTCTCGCTTCCTAGCCCAACTCCTTACGCACTGCTCCATAGGAACTTGCTTAGCGATAATTCAATGACGGTATATAAACAAAAAAACAGGTTTATAACAATACCTTGACGATTTAAACTAGCGCGCGGAGCGTGCTGACCAATAGCGCCTGTTATCACCTGTGACGTAGCGACCAACCTGCGCAATATCATACCTTGTATTCTTTGTACCATGGGCCTGAACGATACGGAATCCGGTGACGATACGCCAGACATCATATATCATATATAAAAAAGACATGTAACGAACTAAAAACGTTACAATATTGCAAGTTATAATTTATCCTTTCATAGTATCTGCCTATTTAATTTTTTAAGTATGTAATGGGCATTTTGTTTACTGACCTGTTTTGTCGAGTTGCTTGAATCCATTTTTGCTTTTGATCAAATCGGTATGAGAAGTTGTGTAGCTATAAAATGTTGTTTCGGGAGAGTTGAATATCCGGGAAAGTTGATCTATTGAATGTTATTGTACCCAATAACCACATAACTACGCCCTCCTTTTCGTGTTAACATTTTTTTGACAATTTTATTAACATTTGAAATTGTCACGACAGAAAGCGACGCCCAGTTCGGGTTCTATTTTTTCACTTAATTTTTACTATAAGAAACAGCGTTACATCACACAAACCTCATACCTGAGTGTTTTATATTTTCAATAACTGCACTATTAAAAACTAAAATACTTAAATATTATAACAAAGCCACAATTTTAATATTATTTCAATGTGATTAACAGCGGAACTGCGTGAAATACAAAGCCGAAAACTTCTGATTCCTTCGGTATCGCGCGCTACGGTCAGACTTTTTAAAATCAACTGTAATGCACCAAGCCTATTACGCGAATTGTTTTGACGATGAGAAATCAGTTAGAAAATCTAACGCAGTGAACGCAGAATTTATGGTTCTAAAAAGTTCTATTTTTTTATAATTTGTTATTAAGGACTAAAGAGCTTTGGAGAATTATAAAATATTAACCATTTTCGAATAAGCAAAAACTTTTGTGAGCTTTTTTTTTTCATAAAAGTTCATCGTTTTATTTTTCTCAATAAGTTAAAAATAAAACTTTTTCCTCTTGCAAAGAATGTCCGTGAACGTACTGTACCAAGATCTTTACCGAAAATATGTTAAGCAGAGCAAGATTTATCTGTTCTGTCATATCGTAATTGAGCCTAGTTATTATTGATCTTCTTGTTTACCCAACATATTTCTGATTAAAGTCTTTATATAAATTTTTATAAATACGACATATTAATATTGTTACGTTTTGTTAAAACAAAGCAAAACTAACGAAGATTATTAACATAAAAGAATAACATTAAAAATTATTTAACACTCTTTACAGTTTAAAAACGACTATATATGTCTTAATAATATATGTCTAATAATTTGTGTCTCAAAGTCAAGAAACAATCCGCGTTCAAAAGTTTTATAGTTCGTCTTGCCAGGTGTCTTTCTTGCCAGGTATCCTGCCCATTGCCATTTGAGGGATTTGACTCTGCGGATGACATCTGTTACTTTGAGTCTTTTCTCGTATCCACTCTATTCTTTTACAGTCTTTCTTGGTTATTCCCAGCATATTTCGATCCATTGTGCGTTGTGCGACCTGCAGTTTTCTTGTGATGTCCGTTTTAAGTGTCCAGGTTTCGCATGCATAGGTCATGGCTGGTAGGACACATTGGTCGAATGTTTTCTTCTTTAGATAGAGTGGGATTCTAGATTTGAATATGATTGAATATGATTGAATTTCTTCCTTGAATATATCATATTGGTATAATATATAAATATCATTTTACCAATCAAAATGTACAGTAAGCAAGTCTATTTTAATTTTTTTTAAACTACACTTCCCCAATAAATTAACGCACAACAAAAAAATAACCAAAAGTTTTAGTTAAGTTTTTGTCAAAACCACTTATCCGATTTGGACGATTTTTTTTTGAATGATAGGTTATTCTTTCCACAATGTTGCTATACTAACTGTATTTTGATAGGAACCCTTTTATACTAATACCGCGTGTAGCAATTATAACGTGTTTTTTTAATAAAATTTTTGACACCCTGTAGAGTTGATCAGTTACTGTATCAAGTTAAAATTGAAATCACATTTTAGCCTTATCTTTTTTTACATTTTGTTTTTTTATTTACTCCATTATCTTCCTTATTACACGAGAAACAAAATTTTATAGGATGACATGATTTAATATTGGTTTTAATTAACATTTTTCCATTTTACTCACTAAAGTAAGTAGCAGGCTATGGAAAAACACGGATTACCAGTAAATGTCAAATAGAGATGCTAGTTTCTGTGCAAACTTGTAGACCATTAGTATCTCTGAGCTGAGTTTGAAGGGTCCGAGCTGTTACGAAACGTTGTCTTAATGTTGAGAGTTTTAAAAAACGTTCCTGAATCGGATTGGTTCTTCGATTCCTGCCTTGTCCCGGCCTGCGACAATTACTCCCAGTATCTCTTACCGTTGTATAACTCGTGAAATGGTTTGAGTGAGTTACATTAAATCGTTCACCAATTCTTCGGTAGCTCCAACCTTCCTCAGACAATATTAATGCTTGAGCACATTCTTCGCCAGTAAGATTTCTTGTTTCACGTGCACGTTGCATATTTTTGATATAATAAAAGGACGAAAACGAGTGACACTGACAACAAGCATCTCTATTTGGCATTTACTGGTAATCCGTGTTTTTCCATAGCCTGCTACTTACTTTAGTGAGTAAAATGGAAAAATTTTAATTAAAACCAATATTAAATCAGTCATCCTATAAAATGTTGTTTCTCGTGTAATGATTAAGATAATGGAGTAAATAAAAAAACAAAATGTAAAAAAAAGATAAGGTTAAAATGTGATATCAATTTTAACTGATCAATTGTAACTGATCAACTACTCTACAGGGTGTCACAAATTTTATTAAAAAAAACACGTTATAATTGCTACACCCGGTATTAGTATAAAAAGGGTTCCTATCAAAATACAGTTTGTATAGCAACATTGTGGAAGGAATAACCTATCATTCAAAAAAAATCGTCCAAATCGGATAAGTGGTTTTGACAAAAAATTAACTTAAACTTTTGGTTATTTTTTTGTGGTGCGTTAATTTATTGGGGAAGTGTATTTACCATTTAGTGGACAATTTCCAAATTTAGAATCAATAACAAGAATTAACATTAAACGTTTAGCAGTAAGACTGATACAACACAGGCGTTTTTAGTATAAATGGATTATTTCAAGTCATGAACTAGTAACTTGAAAGATTTAATTTTATACTTGAACAAGATATTATGGTTACTTGAATTCATTTATCATTAAGAACATTACATCCATAGAAAATGCAGCCAACCAAAAACAAACCAAAACAAATATTAACCTCGTCAAAAAAGTTCTATGGGTATTTCGTCACTTAAAATTAAAAAATCTACAAAATAAAATAGTTTTTTTTGTCAATACTGCTGCTTTAATCCAACGGAGACCAACATGTCAACAGTGATTTACTAATAAATAAATTTGCCTAACTATCTGATAACAAATACTTAATGAGATAAAAGCTTTATTCAGAACCTCGCAATTAGTGGAATAAATTAGTGGTTTCAATTACATTTTATACTTTTTTTCCATAGCAACTGTTAAAATTGTTTATATCTATCAAAAATAGTAGATAAAATAGTACTTTAACCGTAAGGGTAGATTAAATAATGATACTTTAATAGCGAGGATAGGTTAAAAACTTTATTTCTTAATTGCTTCCATTTTTGAAAATTTTTGTATTCCTTTTCATAAGTTATTCGAGATTTTAATGGAAGTAGTTTGTATATGGCGTTTGTCGCCTCAGCCTGAATATCTGTTGGTAATTTACTTATTTCGTTTTGAGCCATTTCTGGCCCCCCAGTCAATCAGTAATCGACACGAAAGAGAATTAAAAAATATGGACTCAAAACTGAGAACTAAAGAGACAGCTTTATTTATTTGTCAAATTACATAGAAACCAACGCCAACCCAGCACAATATTTTTTCTACTCGTAATAAATTCCTTGAAATAATCAGTTCTGAATATTTTTAAAATTGTTTTATACACGACGATAAAATTGCATTATCGTTTTCCGAAATTAATTCATTCGCGATTTCATCGCTCGTGAATTAATCTTTTCGGTCGACGATAAAATACCATTTTATCGTCTTGTATAAAAAATAACTATTAGATTACGATCATTCACAATATCTTAAAAGTACAATTAAAATTAATAGAATATCCTAGCAACAGCTTGCGGTAGTCAGTTGTATCTATCGAGAAAGCTTGTTTAGCTTTTAAAACGATCAACTTTTGATTTCTAATCACAATTTCTCTTGACCGATGATAATCAAAGGCTTAGAAATTCAAAAGTTTGTTAACCTTTTTTTAATAATTGAAAATGATTACCACTAATTTTAACGTTCTGAATGCTTACATTGAAATTAAAGACAAATCTACGCTAATTGAAACCACTAATTTATTCCACTAATTGCGAGGTTCCGAATGAATTTAGAACTAAAAAACCTAAATAACTGTAATAAAGTTAAATGAATGTTAAAATACTAATCTCCTATGTTTCATTTCAGGCCCCATTTGTGGAGATATCCGTGATGGAGCCCAAGCGCCGCAAACGCCGCAACGTGGGCCTCAATTGCGACGACAAAGCCTCGGAACCCCTTTGTTGTCGCTACAGTTTCATCGTGGACTTTGTGGAAATCGGACTGGATTTCATCATAGCTCCGAAACGGTACGACGCGCACATGTGTTCAGGCGAGTGTCCGTATCTCACGTTGCAAAAGTACCCGCACACACATTTGCTAAAAATGTCGTCTCCAAATTCGGCCGCACCCTGTTGTGCTCCCCGAAAAATGTCGCCCATACACATGCTGTACTTTGACGAAAAAGTCAACGTGGTGTTTGCCAATTTACCGGGCATGGTGGTCGACAGGTGCGGCTGTTCATAATAAACTGCCCAGACGCTAGCCAAGTGATTCCGTTGTGTGTGCTCCGAAAGTTAGTATTGATCGGTTGTGAAAATTGTTGAACTGGTTGTGTGGGATGTGGTATGGTTCTAAACTTGTGCGGGCATAAGTTTTCATATGTTCTCTATTAGCATAAGTTGCATTTATGTCAAGATTTGTTTGATGGTGGTAGAAAATAGCTAATTTGAAAGAAAACTGTTGTGTACAACTTCCGTTGTTTTTATTCACTAATTTATACGATTACGAGTTATTCTATCTTCCTCTCTTCTATCAAATAGATACTAACAATAAACATTCTAAACTACATAATTTATAAACTAGTTGATTTAGGAATGTTAACAATAGAATTACGTTTCTGGTATATCGATATATCAATAGCAGAACATCGAAGTATCGATATTCTTCTAACGATGTTTGTGAAGAAACAAAATCGTCTATTTTTAAATATTGACACTTTTAATTCTATATATAACTAACTGGGCTAACTTCTTCCACTTAAAACGATATTTATTTGAGATGCCACGAATAGTGATTTTAGCCGAATACCGAATATTCGGTCGAATCACCCAAGGAAGTGTTAGGGATCTTCTTATATCATCGTAATAGTATGAGAGCTAGCAACGTCGGGAAAACAAGTATTTTAAGAAAGCTGGCTCTTTAATCTATCGTTTACTATGCTCTCTGGAACAGCTGGTACACGTTGCATTCTCTACTGCGCATTGAAAGAAGATTCTATATTTTTATTAGTCCTTTAAATTCTAGTATTGAATATAAACTGACCAAGTCTCCATAGCTCAGCGCGTAGAGGTTCCGACTTTCAAGCGAGGAGTCAGAGTTTGGGTCAGGGCAAACACTTTTTTATTTTATTTACGTTTATATTCTGGTAGTAAAATATTAAATAATTCTGGTGATTAAAAATAAAACAAATATTTAATACTTTACTATCAGAATATAAACGAAAATAAAATAAAAAAAGTTCTTTGTAGTCGGAAGCTCTACGCGCTGCGCTATTGAGACTTGTTCGATTTATATTCAATACTAGAATTTAACGGACTAAATAAAAAAACATAGGAGCTTCTTCCGATGCGCAGTAGTGAACGCAAAGGGTATCGGCAGCCAGACGGGCCGCATGCTGTTCCAGAGAGCATAGTAAAAGATATATCAAAGACCCAGCTTTCTTAAAATACTTTCTGGAAAACGTTGCTAGCTTAGACTATTTTATTTTTATTACTTATTTTCTTAGACTATAAATAGAGACAGACTTTATCGTAAAGTTAGTTTTTTTGTGGATTTCGTTTGCAATACCGGATTTCTGAAAATTAGTTGCCTTGATTCTGAGCTGTTATAAGGTTACTGAAGAAATTGAATTATACTTGGAAGCCAGTCACCTGGATCGGAGGACCTTCCAAGTTGTGGCTAGGAAACACTAAAAAATATCCAAACCTCGCGAAACTTACGAAAGTCTGTCAAGTAATAGCAGAGCAGTAAATTTAGTGAGAGGCTATTTTCCAAAGCTGGCAACGTTTATATCGAAAAACCCAATCGGTTGCATACTACAAATAGAAAAAAAATATATATTGTGTAGTTTAGGATGTTTATTATATAATATGTATACAGGGTGGCGCACCTCATTCGCCTCGGTTGATTATACGAAAACGGAAAGATGTAGAAACAAAATATTTTATGGGTTAATGTGGGAAGGCAATGTGCATAATTTAAAATTATTTTCAAATGTACAGGGTGTGTCAGAACTAAGATCCATTCCAAAGTTATATTTTTTCTTATGGAACATCCGGTATTTTATTTCATTTTTGGATTCTTGGACATAAAATAAGGCATTTATTATAAGGGTTTAATATGTTTAAAAGCTTTGGTTTTTGAGATATTTAAAAATATTTAAATATGCATGCTATAATAAAAAAGTTTGTCAACACATTGTACATTACTTTTCAGAATTAGTTCTGCCATGGCGACACCAGCCATCTTAATTGCCATTTTATTGAAAAATCGGTTTTTATTCAAAATATGTGCCAGATAGGTATAGGAAACCATAATATAGTTTGAAAGAGCATTTAAATCTGCTTCGACTTATTTAAAAAAATAGACAGTGTTGTATGTGAAATAACGAAGTTTTTATGTAAAATACATTACAAGAAAGCAATAAAATTTTTAGTAAAGTTTATTTCTCTGGCTTCAAAGTCAGCACAAGAATTAACTCTGAAAAGTAATGTACAAGGTGTTGACAAACTTTTTTATTATAGCATGCATATTTAAATATCTTTAAATATCTCAAAAACCAAAGCTTTTAAACATATTAAACCCATTAAACCCTTATAATAAATGCCTTATTTTATGCCCAATAATCCAAAATTGAAATAAAATACCGGGTGTTCCATAAGAAAAAATATAACTTTGGTATGGGTCTTAGCAACACACCCTGTTAATTTGAATATAATTTTTAATTGTGTACGTAGCCTTTCTACATACACCCATAACAATTTTGTTTCTACATCTTTGCGTTTCCGTATAATCAACCGAGGCGAATGAGGTGTGCCACCCTGTATATACTTGATAATGGCTATCATATAACTATCCAAAATCTTGTAATTGTATAAAATAAAAAATATAAACAACGGAATATTGAGTTCACAGTTATATTTTATATGCCAAAAATTTTGGATAATTATAAAATAAATTTCAAAAGTATTTCTTTGATAAACTAGGGAGCATAAGTTTACATATGTTCTCCATTAGCATAAGTTGCATTTAAAGTTTCTTGGACATTTTGTCCAAACGACTTCTAAAGGTATTTCTTCTGAGAATGTAATTATGGATAATATAAATACATCTGACACCTACACTAAATTAAAATGTTTATGGAATATGGAATGTGCGTTGGAATTTATACATTTTACAAAATCGTTCTCTAAATTTAAATTGTGTTAGTAAATTTGATCAATTTATAAACTAAAAGACAGACAATATGTGTTTATATTTTGAAAATAAACGATAAATGAAATATCTGTTCTGTGAGTAAAAAGGAACATCACAATCATCGATAATAGATTTTGATGAAACTCGTAGTTGGCATGTGTTTTTCTTCACAAGAACAGCAAACTAAAAAAATATTGAACAAAAATATAAAATATAAACGTTAAAGTTAATAAACATGATTATTTCAGGTTTTCAATAACACTCATTTTTTACGTTAAACAACAAGCTGTGCAACGAGAGTTGAACAGCTTGTTGAGATGACAGTAGTTTCTGTTATTTTTGGGATGCTGTCTGTCAAATTTTGTTTTAAGTTATTTCCACTACCATTTACATAAATCCGGAGTTTAACCATAGTTTTTTTATTGCAAATAATTAATCTTCGTACAATTTTATGACACCCGTATTTATTTTACTTCAATTTCATCCCATTTTTTAAAAAAAATTAATCAATATTAAGAATTTCAAATTTACACTTTTGCAATCTCTGACGGCACCTATCAAAAGTGTTACGGTTTGCCACCAGGTACAAAGGTAAATATAAACCATTTTTCTAAATGTATTTTAAAGTTGATATAAAATTAATTGTAAAATAAAACTTAAGGAACTTACGTTAAAATGATCGTCACAGCAAAATATCGTACTTTTGCTGACATATTGTTGTCTTGCCGCTTCAAACCACGCTCTTCGACGACTTTCATCCAAAGGAACAGTTTAAAAACTTTTTCTGGAGAGCCTTCAGAGTTATTTAGACAGCCCTTCACAAAACAAACTTTAACACCCTTCATTACAAAAATAATAAAGAGGGTACAATAAAACAAAATTGAAAACTCAAAGTATTTAACGCCAAACGCAAAATCCACAAAATACAAATCTAACCTCTAACCCTTGAACGCCTCGAACATCCGAACAACTTTGGTAGTGTTTAGTGCTTCGATAAAAATGGCAGAAACCTGTTAATTATAAAAATTTAAGTTTTAATTTCTAGTAGAAAAAAATATAAAAGTAAATTTAATATTGGTGTAATAAAGAATAATCCCACATAAAAAAGTATTTTTTAACGAACTTAATAAAAATAGAAAAATCTAACGTGATTTTAAGATATATGGTGTACATACGGTAGCAGAGAACTAGACACGCCATAATATTATTCTTCAGAGGCTCGCGCCCTCTGTCAACTATTTAGTCAAATGCTGAGGTGACGTCACAATTTTCTACGCGTCATTTCAAACCAGTGCAATTTGTATTGAATTTGATTTATTATTTATTCAATTTATTTAAATTAACTTTGTTGCATTTCTTTTTGTATTCAGGGAGTACTTTTTAATCACTTCAATTGAATTTTATATTAAAAATAATAAAAATTTACTATGGTTAAACCCGGATTGTATAAAACTTAATTATCATAATTTTAAGGTAATTCAAAAGAAATACTTTTGGTAGTCCAAGTTGAGGAAAAAGCATGTGGGCTTTAATTTATTTCTAGATTGAATAGGACCAACCTCCGAAATTGTTAGATTTTTGTAACCGGAAGATGTGATGTATCATATATTACCGAATTATGTATTTCGAAGATATGACAAAAAATTACATATTTAATCAAATTAAATTATTAAAAGTAAGTAATTCATTGAAAATTAAACATTTACTAGAAAATTACTTTATTTTTCCAATACATTTTTTATGATTAATAAATATTTAATCATACTCCAGATCAGGGTTGGAAAAAATCATGATTTTAAAAAAAAAAATCAAAAATATAAGATTTTTTGATTTAAATCAAATTTTTTTGATTTTAATTCAAAACAATTTTTAAATCGGATTTCCAAATGACTAGGACTTATTTCCAATTAAAGACCTATCCTAAATGGCTAAATCTTTATAACTATGCCTGATACCGATAACATTAACAATTTTACGGTGCGTGTCATTTTTCCACATCCGTCACTAATATATTCCGCAAAAAGAGTCGCTTCAGATCAAATGGATTTTTTTTCAAACATCTCAAAGATATTAACTTTTGTCATTTTAACGCCTAGGCATAAAAGTAAAGCACTGTTACGCCTAAGCACAAAAGGACAAAAATATATTATTAAACTGATATTAAGCGTCAAATTCAACGAGTGTACAACACGAGCCGAGCTCGAAGAGGCTCGCCTTCCTTTGAGTATCGTCAAGTTTACCGACAGAAAGCGGGTATGTCCAAGCCGCGCCAAAAATGACGAGCTGCCCCATAGCTGCCCGGTCCCACGACTCGTGTATCGGCGAGTCTTGCTCGTGGCTTGCCGATACACGCGCCGTGGGATGCCGCCTTTACAATGATCCTTCAAAGGTACAGACAGCATCGTCAAAAAAAGTATAATTTTTACTCCTAATAAAACAATACACTATTGTTCGGAAATGGTCTTAAGTCCAGTATGTATTATCTAATATCAAAGTGTAAAGTAGATAGGTACTTACTGCAGATCAAAATGTCGGTAGGAATTAGGTGGAATTAGGAGGAAACATACAACCGTTTCAAAAAAAATAAAACATTTCGTTTTCTGACCACGATTATAGATTCTCGGGAATGAAGATATAGTCTCTATATCATAAGAACCTAGTTCTGCCCTAGACTTTGCGAATAATATGTATTCGAATAGCGAATTTTTGTCACTTATACATAAATTTTAAAATAAATCCC